AATATAATATAAAAAGTAATATAAAAATAATATAAAAAATGATATTAAAAATATAGTATAAAAAACTCATAAAAGTTCTGCAAAATGTAGATATCTCTTCTATCACGCTTACTCATTTTGGTCAGCACTGGATCGACTCGTGAGAGAATGAATACGATAAAAATCGTGAAAAAAATTAGTCACCGCGAGACCATATTTTCTGATACGGCTGACACGATAACTCGAGATCCAGAGTCGTCCGACTAATTTCTTGCGACAGGATCAACAATTGACAATTATCAATAAAATCTTGATATTTTCTAATTCATTTGAACGCCAAAAAGCAAGAAAGAAAAGCTACAGAATCGAAGCTTGAACTTCGATGTACCGCCATTTTGTTATTCTCCCAAGACATCTTTTATTCGTCCCTGTACCCGCTTTCGGAAATGCCACCTTATTTAGACTTTCAGTCGGCGAAACAGTGTCAGCCGATGAGACACTTTTTTCCTAACAGACCTCGTTTGTAAATTTCGAATATTTTTCCTTTTAAAAGAATACATAACGCGCCCACGCGAGCACAGCAATTTCTCCCTAATTCGCGTCAGATACGATTCTACAAGACACAATTCGAAGGCGATTCGAAGGCAATTCGGGGGCCAGATGCCACGATTCAACGTTACTTTTCCATCTCTTTCGATCTCCCTAATTTTCTATCAGCTTTTCAACAAAAATGGACAATTTAGGAGGAGAAGATATAATATATATAAATATAAATATATATAATATATTTAATATATTACATAATATTATCGTTTTAATTAATTAATTAAAACTTAATTAAAACAATTATTATAACAATATTTATATTTACATATATTCTATCTTCTCCTCCTAAATTGTCCATTTATATATATATATATATATATATATATAAATATAAATATAAGATTCGAGCCTCGCGACTCTTCTTTATAATCGTTGACAATCGATAACTATAAAAACCAGCCGCGAAGCTCGAACAATCGCGTCCCCTCTTTCCAGATCGTCCATCTTTGCTCGCGTTATGAGCACGTTATTCTCCGAAATATTGTAGATACCTTCGAAAAACGAGAACAACGCGAAATAACTGTTCTTTTTCTGGAAAAAAAAATCCGCGAGAACACGCGAGAACTGCGCCGGTCGGCCAAGATGCCCCTTTTAAGCGGGGCCTTTTAATCGGAGACCTGACGGCGGCCGCAGGGATCCGTTCCGAAGAATCTACGGTGTCGCTGGATCACCGCCGTTTTTTTTTCTGGCTGGAACCAAGAAGAAAGGTCCGCGGACGGGTGGAGAGAAAACACGGTTTTCCCAGCGGCGGGCAAACCGGCATCGGGCATCGGGCATCGGAAACGTCTGTTGCGTCCGCGTCCGTTCTCGACGGTAAAATCGATGCCGGCGAAACAAGTTAGTTGGGTTTGGTTACTGGGTCGCGAGCTATTGTGCCTCGATGCTCGCCAGGCCTTTACGTTTCAACCAGAAACCGTAAATGTTTCAACTATAAACGGTAAATAGGTTGTGCAGGACCCGATATCGACAGCCGACGCTCAGATTACTCGGATCCGCGCGATGCGCCCGCATCAATTTAGACCGGAATTTTCAATCCGGCGACCTTTTCTGACCGTCCTGCGCCCTTCCTGCCACCCTTCGACCTTCCGCGGCCACCCTCCGCGCGCAGAAATCGGACGAGCCCGCCGGACAGTCCGCGGCTCGATATTTTTCGATCTCGCCCGTGCTCTCTCTCTCTCTCGTTTCCGCGAACACGGCGGCCCGCGCGCGGACTTCCCGATAACGAGGGCGAGCACAATTTCGCGCGAGCTATCTGTTGCTCGCGGTCCCGTCTCCTCGCCAACCACCACGGAGCTCCTTTTCGGATCGTTCCGTTCAGCGGGAACATACTTCGTGGAGAACCGCCCGTCGAATTCTCTTCGTTCGCTCGGCGAACGGCGGCGAAAATCGGCGCCGCGCTCGGAACTTTCGAAACAAAAAAAAAAGAAATTCCGCGATGTAATTTCGGACGAGCTCTGCTCGCGCGGACAATTCTGCTTGGGGCAAGCGAGAAACCCGCGGTATATACGTGCTATCGTAACGCTGATTTTCGCAACTCGCTCTAGCATGTATATTTATAAATCTATTCCTTTGAGATCAAGATAGCCGTTCCATTCGACGCCGTACAATTTACCTCAGCGATTTTGTCTGCCGCGTTTCGCGAAAGAAATTTCGTAATACCCGTGATACATATTTCGCGAAATATCCTCTCGTAACAGAGGAGAGATATTATCGTGATGTAACGTGTAAAATGTTTTCCTCGTTGCGAATTAATTATCCGAACGAACAGCAACGAGGCTGGTTGGCTTGTTCGATGTTCGACAACGGCACGCGTAACGACTCGTTCTCTTTTGTAATAACGGTATAACAAGGGAATGATCGAATGTACATAGAAATGAGATAGGACGGCGTTAACTTCGGGGGAAAAATGTTATATAGAATAAACACGGTTCTTTTACGTCTTCGGGGAAACTTTCGCAAGGAAATTCCTACCAGGTTAAGAAGTTAAGGTTGCGGAAGTTAATCCTTTGAGGACGGCGAATAAAAACTGGACGGCTTGCGCCAGACGCCGATAGGTGCATTACTGAAGATCAAAATACTTTGTTTATTTTATCTAGTTTATTATTTATATATATATATACATATATTTAATCTATTATCTATATTTTATTCTATATCTATATATATATATATATATATATATATATATAATCTATATAATATTCTTCTTCTTCTCTTATAAATAGAATATTTATATTTATTCTCACTCTCTCTCTCTCTCTCTCTATATATATATATATATACATAAATAGAATATTATATAGATTATATATATATATAGATATAGATAAAGATATAGATATAGAAGAATATATCTAACATAAAATAGTTTATATATATATATATATAGATATAGAATAGAATATAGATAATAGATAATAGATATAGATATAGAAGAGAAGAAAAAGAATATTATATATAATATTGTTGGCGCTTTAAAAAAGATCCTCCGCAAAAAGCTAGAATATTTCAGAATCTAGTAGAGCGGTCACGTCGAATACCGTGCGACCAGCCCGAGGAATGAACGTTCGGAAAGTGGGAATGTTAACGATGCAGATAAGATGTTCGCGCGTATGCCAGCTGGGTACGGTGAACTTAGGCGCTCAGGTTTACACAGGTCGGACACACGACGTCGTCGTCGTCCGTTACCCGGTTACTCTGGCCAAGGTCCCGACACCGGGGATCCCCGGTCCCGATCTGGAATTCGATGAACGATCGAGCGCACTCGGACAGATCTCTCAACTCGTAAACCCCGCGCTCGGATCGACCTCTCGCTTCTAATTCGGACGAGGCGCGAGTATTCCCAAGGACGGACCGTTTAACCGTTGCTCGAGCCGCTTCGCCGGCAGCTGTCCACTGGATTTACGTCTCTCTCTCTCTCTCTCTCTCTCTCTCTCTCTCTCTCTCTCTCTCGGACGGAGACGGATAGACCGATAAAGGAAGACATCATAAGAGATAGATAGATAGATAGACCGAGAGAGAGAGAGAGAGAGAGAGGGAGACGCGAGATTCGCGAGAAAATCGGAGGCGATCGCCAGCTCTCCAGGAACATAATCGCACGAGGAAAACAACCGCGAGGCGAGAGAGACGGGCCGCGGCGGGCCGCCGGTCGCATGCCAAATTCCTAATCAAAATCCCCCACCAACTTTTCCGACCTCTGCTCGCTGCATTAAGCCTCGCGAGCTTAGAGCGTCGTTCGGTCACCTTAACGTTCCGCTGGCGGATTTAACGAGAACACGACATGCCGTCCTGTTCCCTGAATTAATCCGCAGTTGAACCGGCGACACACGCCGTACACGACCGGCTTTGAAAACAATGAATCATTTGTCCGCGGCAATCGGACACGGTGTAACGGAACCAAGATTAACCGGGCTAATTAAGAGGACATTGATGCTCGGATAATAGGCGAACGATTACGTGGCCGCGACGCTAAAATAAAACATAATTGACTTGCGCGACGCGTTCTGCACTGTACGGATCCATTTCGTGTTGGATTGATAACAGAGAATTCGGATAATCGAGGTTCCGCACCCGTAACATCGCCCGTACGGAAATGTATCTTTGCAATCTCAGATAATTGTAAAATAAAGAATCTTTCGTTTCTCTGCCTACGACGATGATCGTCCAATATTTGTCCCCTACGTGATTGAAGAACTGTTTTCCTAACCCAGCACCCTCTCGATTCACGCCACGGAGCATCGCGCCGCCGATACCTCTCAGATTTTTAGATCGGATCGATCGGAGGGTACTTATACCTTTCGAGACCTCGGCCGGAGGAACGCTCGTGCGAACTCGAATTAGCACAACGAATTCTATTGAAATTCGATCGTGCTACTAGCTAGCTCGAGTTGCAGAACATTAATATATTAATAATAATAATAATAATAATAATAATAATAATAATAATAATAATAATAATAACCGGGCGGCTATGAAATGCAGAACAGTGGAAGCATTTAAAGACTGTTCAATCATTATTGCATTAACTTCATCTCGTTAAGAAGTGCGATGCTCGTGATTCATGTAGCTCGTAGATTTTGTAATCAACGCGAGCTTTTCTTTCGCATAAAAATCCACAGGCTGGCAATAACGATCGGCCACGGTTGAACCTGGACTACGAGGCACGATGGTATTATGATGGTTTGCGATATAATTGCCAAGTTCGCAAGACACCCGCATTACAGAGTGACACGCAGCTCTCTTAGTAGCTCATCTGGCCTCTCGCACAGGTAGGTCTCTAATGGGTTCGCCCCGTGTGGCGAAACGGGGGTGTTCTCGATCGAAAGCGTTGGCAGGGTAGTTGGGGAGGTGGGGGGTTAGAATATGGTAACGGGATTCGATAGCTCGAGAAGTAGAGATAGCATGTGTCCACTCACCATATGAAATCCTTGCAGTGGCTGCAGAATGTGGGCTGCTTGAAGAACCGGGGCATGAAATTGTGGTTCTTGACAACGTACACATTCTTCTTCTTGAGCGCACCCTTCCGGCCCCGGATCTTCTTGGCGAACGCGGTGTTGGCGTCCCCGGGGCCGAGCGAGTCCTCGCACGTGTTGTTCGCCTCCTGGTCGTCGGCCATGGTGGCCGGCCTCTGGCTCGTTCCTCTTCGAATTGAAAGCCGAAGACGAGACGGAGGCGGCTGCACGCGTTTACGGTTTACGGCGGCCTTACGACGGGTACAGGGAACGCGAGTATGGCTTTGACTGGCAGCAGCGGGTTAGGACACTTCCGCGGCTGATCCCTGACTGTCACTGTCGCTCGAAGGATGCACGAGCGCGCGCGCAAAAGCACGCACGCACCGCCGACCCTGGCTGGCCGCGGCTCCGAGCGGCTCCGAGCGGCTCCGAGCGGCTGCTAGCGACTCTGGAGTCGTACACCGGTGCGTATACCAACGAATCGGATGCGAGATGTCGCCGGAAATAAAGAAACAAGCGGAAAAGGGAACCCCGCTGGAGGTGGTGGTTCCTCGCGACGAAACGCCGACAACCGTCCGGACAAAACGCTGGCCGACGCGAGTTCTCTAAGGTATTATGTTCCTCTCGTAGCTGCCCGATCCGCGCCTCGTCGACCGACCACCGTCGACGATTCTCTGGCCTCGGCCTCTCCAACCCCGCCGCAACCCGCGACCACCCGCTGCCAGCCTCCGCTTCGACCCTCTTGCTCCGTTTCACCGGTTTCACCTTTCTCCCTCCTCGTCGCTCGCTTCGCGGGACCAAGCGCGCGCGCATTCTAACCCGCGGCCGCGGCTTCCATAGCTATACCCTCCTTCTCCCCTCTCCTACACCCCTACTCTTCTGCAAGCAGCCGGTCTTCTTTCCTTTTCCACCTCCCCTGCGTTCCTTCGTATCACCTCGTTTCGACTACCCTGTCTTCATCTCCTTATTCTTCCTCTTCTTCTTCTTCTTCTGCTGCTGCTGCTTCTTCATACCTCCCTTCTGGCGGACGATGTCCGGTTCCACGTTCGTCCTACAAGGGAGCATCGATTAATCGATTGCTCGCTAAAGGAAATTGCCGAGAAACGAAACCGAGGGTACCGAGAGGCGCGACATGCTGTGGCAGATCCGTTCCTACACTTTATCGCAACATTGAATCGTCGATAGTTATCTGCGCGCAAGTAGCCCCTCTTTTCTTCCTCGGTTACGTATTCTTTCATCCATTGCCACGTCCTCTCCTCATTCTACCTCTCTCTCTCTCTCTTTCTCTCCCCCTCTCCCACTCTATTTCTCGCTTTGGCTCCGTACTCCTCGTCTCGTAATTTTTTCCTCCCCCCTGAATCAAGCTCTCATCAGCTCTACCGACCCCACCTCCTCTGCTTTTCACTCTCCTACCATGCAGGTGTGTAGGTGTATGCACGTAGTACCTATCCAGCACTCCCTCTCTCTCTCGAAGCGAAGCGACCGATAATTTTAGATTCTCGGCGCAGTGGCTCGACACTGCCACTGCTCAGCCTGCGCCGCGCACTAGAATATCGACATCCGACGGCCGCGAGTGCCGCGAGCAAGCCGTGCGAGCAAGTCGAGCGGGCGAGCGGACGAGCGGATGAGCGGGCGAGCGAGCGAGCGAGCGAGCACACGCGACTTCACCGAAACCCCGAGGGAGAGTTCAAATTAGAAGGAGAGAGAAGACCGCCTGCATCAGTCTATTCTGCTCTTTTACTCTCCCTTTTGTCTCTTGCACCCTTCCTTCCTTCCTTCCTTCCTTCCTTCCTTCCTTCCTTCCTTCCTTTTTTCCTTTCTTCCTTTGCACCCGCTTCAGAATCATCCCGTGCCTTGTCTATGACACCCGTTTCTTTCCCGCGATTCGTCTTCTCACGATGACCTGTTAACGAGCATGATTTTTAGTTCGCCTGTACGGTCTTGTCCAGGAACGATACATCAAATTTCATGGCTCGCTCTTCTGCTTAATTAACCCTTTTAAGTGTGACAACTCAAACAATTAACTCTCGCAGGGCGCATGCTTTTAGCAATTTCATGGTAGACATGACTAAATTCAGTCAAATTTCTGCGCACTAATATTTTTTATATATTTTCTAACATACTTTTTTGAAATCAACGTCGGCCTTCTTATTGGGCCCCTAACGCAACTGGTTAATGATTTGAGTTGAAGTTCAAGAAATTAGAATTTAGATGGCACTGAAAGTTTGCTTGGAGCGCCTATAAACGGCAACGTATAATGACAAGCAAATCTTCGGAGCGGCCGCAGGCGCCAACCGTAGTCAATGGTTCAATGTGATATTCATTTCTACCAAATTGGTAAATGGAAATCAATGTTACTCCGCTGTATATCAGTAACGCGACGGGATAATAAAAGTTCGCCTAAGTCTTCAAATAGTTACGTCGATACGCGTTAAATAATTTAAATAGGACCACGGCGACCTTAATAGTCCACTTAAGGGTTATATATTTTTAGTTTCGAACTTGCTGTTCCGTCTCATTGACTCCGATCTTACTGGAACGCTACCGCTCGAACGTGTGTAGACGATTTCTTCATTGTAATCACCTGAAATAGTTATGGCTTGTTACGATGCTGATCGTTAATGACAGTACTTCCGGTAGAGCGGTTTTGAAATCGTACGAAACACATAACTTCCGCTAACGAGGAAAAGTTTAAGCGAACGATGAATGCGATTTCAGTTGTACAAATACAAGTATTCAAATAAAATTGCATTCAACAGTTATCTGACAGATAAGAAAACGGAAAACTGTCAGAGTCCGCTTTACAAATGAATTTTGAGTGTTATCGTTGAGCTCTTTCGACATCTGTATTTATTAATTACAAAGGGAACAGGTNTTCCTTTTTTCCTTTCTTCCTTTGCACCCGCTTCAGAATCATCCCGTGCCTTGTCTATGACACCCGTTTCTTTCCCGCGATTCGTCTTCTCACGATGACCTGTTAACGAGCATGATTTTTAGTTCGCCTGTACGGTCTTGTCCAGGAACGATACATCAAATTTCATGGCTCGCTCTTCTGCTTAATTAACCCTTTTAAGTGTGACAACTCAAACAATTAACTCTCGCAGGGCGCATGCTTTTAGCAATTTCATGGTAGACATGACTAAATTCAGTCAAATTTCTGCGCACTAATATTTTTTATATATTTTCTAACATACTTTTTTGAAATCAACGTCGGCCTTCTTATTGGGCCCCTAACGCAACTGGTTAATGATTTGAGTTGAAGTTCAAGAAATTAGAATTTAGATGGCACTGAAAGTTTGCTTGGAGCGCCTATAAACGGCAACGTATAATGACAAGCAAATCTTCGGAGCGGCCGCAGGCGCCAACCGTAGTCAATGGTTCAATGTGATATTCATTTCTACCAAATTGGTAAATGGAAATCAATGTTACTCCGCTGTATATCAGTAACGCGACGGGATAATAAAAGTTCGCCTAAGTCTTCAAATAGTTACGTCGATACGCGTTAAATAATTTAAATAGGACCACGGCGACCTTAATAGTCCACTTAAGGGTTATATATTTTTAGTTTCGAACTTGCTGTTCCGTCTCATTGACTCCGATCTTACTGGAACGCTACCGCTCGAACGTGTGTAGACGATTTCTTCATTGTAATCACCTGAAATAGTTATGGCTTGTTACGATGCTGATCGTTAATGACAGTACTTCCGGTAGAGCGGTTTTGAAATCGTACGAAACACATAACTTCCGCTAACGAGGAAAAGTTTAAGCGAACGATGAATGCGATTTCAGTTGTACAAATACAAGTATTCAAATAAAATTGCATTCAACAGTTATCTGACAGATAAGAAAACGGAAAACTGTCAGAGTCCGCTTTACAAATGAATTTTGAGTGTTATCGTTGAGCTCTTTCGACATCTGTATTTATTAATTACAAAGGGAACAGGTTATGTACGATTTAAGAGAATGATAAAAACATAGGCTGTTTTCTCACACAATTGTTCATATTCCTCAGGAACAAACTTATTTATGATTTGAATTCAAACTCGTACAGTCCGGCAACGTACTGCGAAACCCTTACTGCCATGCTGAACTTTGACGTTAATGGAGGTACACTCGTGTATCGATCGTTGATCTCGTTGACGTCGCATTCGATATCGATTGCTACCTGTTCATCGTCGAAGAAAATATTAAAATAAAATAAAATAAAAAATAAAATTTATCTCACAGTGTTCCACTCAAAATATTAAAAATCTATAATTAAAACTAGAGCATGAATCGAAATTAAATATTTTAATAACTTCAGAGGCTAGATAAGCAAGCTAGATGATCTCCGATATGGCGATGTTCGTTCTTAAAGGATGACTAACGAATTAACAAATGAATCAGAAAACTTACTCATCGATCGCAGTTGATAATCAAATTTTCAATTATAATCATCCACTGCTGCATTAAACGCTGCACAATTCTGGTCCCGATGATGCCTATATTTTCTTCGGAAGAAGATCGCGGGTCAGGTGTTCAAAGTAAGGCTTTCTACCAAAATGTAAGATACCTAAATTATAATATATATACATACATATAACATTAGATACGATCTAGGCTGGTCTATTAGAGAATCTGCAATCTTTAACTCAATGCAAGTTTTAACGTACTCGGGTCAATAATACCTCCAAGCTATTTTTAATGACCGGGACCAGGTGCATGCACGAACCTCTCGCTCGCGTATTTGCTCGAGCGCCACTCGATCACCAAATTTCGATTATATCGAGAGGAAACAATCGATTCGGATCGACGTACCGATTTTTTTTAGATTGATGCGGGTTTATTAGATCGTTTTTGCATTCGATGTATCAGTGCACCAATTATTTAACCTTTAATTTAGATATGTTCGTGCGAGATATGCAGCTGTGTGTGCTCGTTCGAATTCTTACAGGCGCGGTTATGATGATCTCAGTTCTACCAACGACGCGACGCTAATACGATTGTTTCGATTCAAACAAGTGTCTTGTTGTTACGTGTTGTTTGTGGCACGCGTGTATGTGACACCGTTCCTTTTTTTGGATTAAACTCTCATTCGAAATGATACTAAACAAATATTGTTTCCTGCTGATCGTCGCATGCTGTTTATCTATAGGTATGATCAACGTGTGATGATTTTCTGGTGGTATTTGAAATTAATTCATTCATGTTTTTAGGCCACGCCCTGGAGTGTTATGTGTGCACCGATCAGGAAGGTAACAGAGAAAAATGTTTGAAAAGCACAAAAACTTGCGAGCAAGGCCAAGACGCTTGTTTCACCGAGATCAAATGGGGAAGTAAGTTTGAAAAGCTCGTCAGAAAGTTGTGCGACTGTTGACAGTGAGGTTATGTTTACATCATTCCACGAATATGCTACGAATCTTCGTACAAAGTAAAAGTTTCCTACGTCAGTCACAAGATACAGGAGTCACATAAACAGTTCTTACTTTCTCCAATACTGTCACTAAACTACTGTCTCAAATTGTAGCTACTCGTTCTTTTTTTATAGATGTGTAGACTTTATGTTATCAATTTCAATCTATTGTTTTTAGGCACACCGTATTGGTCTCAGGGTGCTAAGAAACAATTTTACGTTTCTAAGAGGTGTTCCACCAAAAAGGAGTGCGAGAGGATAAAGCACAGCAATATGGATGATTGCACGTACATCTGGTATCAGGATTGGAAATGTTCGGATTGCTGTCAAGGAGACAAATGCAATTATTATGTCATTGTGGGTAACGATACACTTTAATGCTTTTGTCTTTGACAAGTTAGAATATATTTTCTTTTAATTATTCAGTCTGGTGTCGAGAAGTTGCACCCATCCTGGACAATAGGTGTTATAATCATGATGTACATGTTGAACTTATGGAGTAGAACAGATTAACACATGGACTTTCACCCAGTGGAAAAACAATCAACGAACAAGCTGACAAAATAGTTAAGCAATTGTGTGCATGCGACACGACAACTAGATACTCTGTATATGTTCACAGAACTGCCATAGGTATCACAGACGTCGTTAGGATTATTCAGAATGCTTAACCCTGGAAGAGCACACAGTTTCTTCGGAAATGTTACAATAGAATCTCACTAAAGACGCTTCTCAACGCTTCATATTTTCAATGATTCCATGATGCAGGAAGAGAAGATGCTACGAGTCTCAGAAAGTCTAGTGCGCCGTTACAGGGTTAAAGTATTAATAAATCCGTCCATTCTTTTGTATTATATTGACACAAAGTATATAGTATTATAAATATTTTATATTTGTTGCTGCGGCTACGAGTGCAGTTAACGCGAGTGCATTATTTTATAGAAATAAATGTTCATATTTTATATCGTCGACATAATTTCCTCTTACTGTTTACTGTCTCCCTCATGCTCTTGATATTACAGCTGGATGATGTATCATCAACAGCGTACCACATACATATCATGTTCAAAGAGTAATCAATATCAGATAAGAATAAGTAGGGTCTTTAACAATATAGTTTTCCCGAACCAGTCCGGGATCGGCAGAGAAACTGAAAGAATATTCCGCGGACGAGTAATATTCACAGTAGGTATGTGGAAAATAATTCAGATGAATTCGATTCGATACGCGATACTGCATTGCATCAGGCAATCCGTCTTAACTATAAGTAACGAGTCACAAAGCACGTGATACAGTGACATTATACATTTACCGTAAACGATTCGCTAGACTAGATAAAATAATTCACGTCAACCGATCAGAAAACCATTTTTCTTTAATTCTTTAATAAAGGCCAAGGTTGGAGCATTTAATGAGATTAAGCGAGAAATCTGCTTTTCGATCTATACCCATAAAAAACGTTGAATAACTCGGGATCGATAAACTTATCGGAGAGAATCAACAAACCATCAGAGCGGTCGATTCTAATCTAGCCGCGGGGCGATGAAACGATTCCAACCAATTGAACGCGGTTCAATCGTACTCGACGACCGATATCTTCCAACTTGATTTAAAGACATTTCAATTAGCGTCTCTTTAGTCGAGAGTCGAGGGCCGTGCGATCGTCGCGTTAGCAACTCAAGTCTGTTCGTACGTGTTCGCTAAACGATTTTCTGCGTCGAAATGAACTCGTCGATGAGTTGCACCCTGTACAAGGTAAGCTTCGGAGCTTTCAGAGGATTAATCTTCATTACGTGTTAAGAAGATTGAACTCTTTCCGTTTGTTTCTTTCAGTTGTACAACATGAGGTCGTGGAAAACTGCGGACCTTCTGAGAGCCTTCGGCCGGAAGAAGGATGTGACTCCTCAGCAGGACACCAAGCTGGCGAGGTGTCTGACCACGTTGGACTTAACGGCGTTAGGAATCGGTTCGACTCTCGGCGTGGGTGTTTATGTGCTCGCCGGATCGGTCTCGAAAACAACCGCTGGGCCTGCCGTGATAATCTCTTTCGCCATCGCGGCGATCGCTTCCATGTTCGCAGGTACAGTTCAAAAGTTGTCTGCTTCATCCTGATCCTCGCAGTCCCATCATATGTTTACGCTCGCGCGTAAAACACTTTATTGCATCCACGATAGTCGAATAAATTTCATAGCACCTTGACGACTCCTTCGTCTTGACCATCGTCCATCTTTAGGAATGAACGTCTTCTTCTCTGTCAAATGAAACAAGTGTCTAACGCGAGTGTATTAAAAGAAGTTTCGCTACAAAAAGATTAAGAATACATTAATTGCACATGATTGTGCATTTAGTTTACAACCTACTATAACTTATACTAACTTGTACATACAATTCTCTGGTCTGCAATTGCTACTTCGTTCTATCGTCCTCTTTTCGAATGCCCTACTTAATAACGCATTCGTTTCAGCTTCTCAATTTATTTTCTTCGCCCTTTCTTTTACATATTGTTCTACTTCCGCCTCCACAGGCTCTACATTTCCCTACTTCGTCTGTCCAGAACTGTTAAAAGACGTTTCTTTTCATGAATTAGGATTGTGTTACGCCGAATTCGGGGCTCGAGTTCCGCGAGCCGGATCGGCATACGTGTACAGCTACGTGACCGTGGGGGAGTTCACGGCTTTTCTGATCGGTTGGACGCTGATCCTGGAGTACGTGATCGGTTCGGCGAGCGTGGTACGCGGCTTGAGCACCTACGTGGACGCGTTGTTCAACAACACGATGAGGAACGCGTTCGAATCGGCGGCGCCCATCGACATCAGTCACCTGTCCTCTTATCCGGACTTCTTCGCATTTGGAGTGACTCTAATCTTTTCCGGTAAGCGCCCACGTTCGGGTAAACAATCGGCGTCTACCTATGGGACTTCTCGTTACGAAACTACCCGCCACAGTGGTCCGTATCCGTTGGACACCCGTCAAATCTAAATACCAGAATCCGTTTTAAGGAGAACTACATCTATTCTTTTAATAACAAAAGCGACCATTTTCATAATGAACGATCTATTGTCATGGATCCAGACTAGCTTCCTCTTCCTCTGTGATTCTTGATCGGAAATCGGTTTTCTCAGCTGCGCTAGCCTTTGGGGCGAAGGAGTCATCTGTGGCGAACAACTTCTTCACCTTGGTGAACCTGCTGGTGGTTTTGTTCGTGATCATCGCTGGATCGTTCAAAGGTAATTCAGCAACACGCTTGTTGATCCAGCAAAGGCATCGAAATATGAATAAAGATTATTCTTTGGTCCGACCGAGTGTAATTAATCAACTTTGTAATTCGCTATGGCCGAAGCTGACGTAACCAATTGGAAAACGAAGCCTCCATGCACGGAAGACAGCTGCGATTACGGGACCGGAGGATTCGCGCCTTATGGCATCGCCGGCATCATAACAGGAGCTGCGACATGCTTCTACGGATTCATCGGTTTCGATTGCGTGGCGACCACTGGCGAGGAGGCGAAGGAGCCACAAAAGTCCATTCCAATAGCGATCGTGGTTTCGTTGACCGTCGTCTTCCTGGCGTACTTCGGAGTCTCCACGGTCCTCACCACCGTTCTACCGTACTACGAGCAGAACCCGGACGCACCATTCCCGCATCTCTTCGACAAGATCGGCTGGAGCTGGGCGAAATGGATCGTCACGATCGGTGCTATCTGCGGCCTGTGCGCTAGGTAAATCTGCCCTCTATAATCAGTTCGTATCAAGAAGCCTGTAACTTCACATTCTTGTGCAGCTTGTTAGGTGCCATGTTCCCGCTACCTCGAGTTATCTACGCCATGGCCTCGGACGGATTGATATTCGGATGGATGGGCAAGGTCAGCTCGCGTTTCCAGACGCCACTCATGGGCACCTTCTCTGCGGGACTTCTCACAGGTTTGTCTACCACCAGTACGCATGCAATCGTAACTAGAAGTAGAGAATAAATATGAATAGCATCTGAGACTCGGATAAAAAATAGTCTGGCTAATTTGTGTGCTCGAGTAGCAAGATTTTTAGTCTGCACAGGAGCTCAAACTTGAATACAAACTTGAACATGTTCGCAGGTGTGCTGGCCGCAATATTCGAACTGACGCAACTGGTCAACATGATGAGCATCGGAACGCTGCTCGCCTACTCGATCGTTGCAACTTGCGTGTTAATACTGCGGTAACAATGGCATCACGCGTGACCCGCGCTGACCTGAACTGATCAACAGGTAGCAACCTACATAAATTATCGTTCTCCGTGTTCCAGGTACGAAGAAAGCGAAGCATACGAAAAGAAGGGAGATCGTGATCCGAGGTCTGTAACGTTCATCACCAAGCAACTAATTAACGTTAATGGATTGAAACACTCGACGAAACTGACGTCGCAAATCGTCACGTACCTAGTCGTTTGCTACCGTAAGACTAGCTATTCTCCTTTGTTGTCTTCTCTTCCGATTGACGTTACCTCACAGCGTATTATTTCGTAGTTGTTTTGTGCGTCTGCATCGGTGTCATAGCTTCGCTGTATGCCAAGGATATAGCGAATGGAGAAGCCACGATCATTGCGCCCCTAGCGATTTTAGTAATCGCTTTGCTGATCGTCCTCACCTTCATCTACAAACAACCGACTTCAGGAAAGAAACTTGCGTTTTCAGTGCGTACATGCACCGAACAGATGGTTCATAATGTATTTAAGAAAATGGTTTTTTAACTAGCCTAATTTCCAGGTTCCACTAGTACCGTTCCTGCCCGCACTCAGTATTCTCATAAATGTTTACTTGATGCTGATGTTGGACAAGATGACATGGGTGCGATTCTCGATATGGATGGTTATCGGTGAGTGGACTGAGCTATACAGCAAAACTGATAAAAAGAATCGTAATCGATGCTCTGCTTTTTTCTTGTTAGGACTCGGCATATATTTCTGTTACGGTGTCCGGCACAGTAAAATTAGGCAACAGAAATGTCAAAAGCCGACTGAGAACGTTGTCAATGAAGAAACATGGAACACCATAGACATCCCCAAACTCACATGACACCTCCTTTCTTCGTGTTTTAAATTTCTAATAAAAGACTTTTGACAACTCCGAGCAGTTACAGCAATAGAAAACACTCTGTATTACACGAAAGTATTTGTCAAAAGATGATTTCAGACAAGAATAACATCTCGTTAGAAAGAAAAGAGAGGTTTGCGATCGTTCAGAGTGAACTTCGAGTCAGCAGCATTCCTGTAGCACCATATGTACTTGCTTTCTGTAAATGTTCCATTTTAAACAAACTAGTAAGGCTCCCTTTTGTGCAATCATCAGATCAATATTACCAAACCCAATCTCTTGTTTTGCCAGAGATAATTGCAAGAACCTAAAAAGAAGCAGTATTGAATATACATATTTTTATAATATACTTCTGAAGAATTTTATTAAACAAATTATTTAAAGATGTAGGTGAAAACACTGAAATCACTGTTGTGTTTTTCTACCACGCTAATTTCATGTGATCCATTTTCATACATAACCAGAATTTTCAAATTAATGAATATGGCGCGAATATGAAGTATAGAACATACTTAGACGCGAAACTACCGTGTTCTTGGGTGCACTAATTTCCTCTACGCATGCGTTCGTAAGTGGGTCCTGTAAGGGTTGTAACGGGTTGCAACAATTTGTATAGTCCCCCATGAATATAGCCTTGGAAATCTGTATTCAAGTACACATCCGTGTGCAAATTCATATACATACATACTATGAACACAGGTTAAAAAGACAAATATATAATTATCAATATATTTTTATCAAGAATATTACGTTATAAATTTATTTATAACATACGGTAATTCGTTCATGATAATTTAAATTTAACGATTATTTATCACTAGCGCAAGTCCTTAAAAAGTATATATAGCTAAATTAAAGTTTAATTTACATAGTATTATATCGGAATTGGGAGATCTTTCGCCACTAATATTAAAATTTGATCTATACTTAAACACCAGTTTACTATATTCTTCGATACTTTACACCAATTTTCTCCATGGTGTGGCTCCGCAGTAATGCATCGTTTCTTCACATCCTCTTGCTGTTCTTCAGTGCCATTTAAAAGTTCGAATTTGTAAAAGTATGCCCACGCGTCCCCCAAATCAGGGTCGATCTTCACTGTTCTGTTGAACCAATCCCTGCACTTTGAAATTTTATGTTCGCACCAAAACAATCTGAAAAGAAAAACATACGTAATAGAAAAATTGATTTTTAACACAACAGCAATAGATAATAGTAATAGATAGTAAATTGTGTGTTACTAACTTGGAAACTGCGAGAAGCACGTGAGGATCGTGTTCGCATTTCTTCAACGCGTCTACGCTTTTGGTTTTACGTTGTGGCCGCGGCTCCATAAAAATCGCCTCTGCCCAAAGTAAACCCGAGGTGGGACATTCTTGCAAAGCTTTCGCCATCAACGTGTTCGCCATGTCCCTTACGCCACCGTTTTTCAATTCGTTTCTAATCGCCTCCAGCCAAAGTTCCGCGTTCTTTGGGTTCTTCAAGCGCGCTTTTTCCAAAACTGACCGAGCTTTGGTAACTTGACTTTTCCTGTGCTCTAACTGCGCTAATAAACGCCATAGGGGAATAGAACTTGGGCATTTCTTTATCTGAAAAACAAATAAAAATGTAAAATGGAAACTAGAGCGAGTATAGCATTATCCACTTATCAATTCACCGCTTGGTTGTACGTATCCAAAGCTTTATCCAAATTTCCTTGTTGTTCTTCGATTTGGCCCTTCATTAACCACAACTTAGGGAAATCATCGAACGCTTCTAGTGCCTCTCTCAGAAGCAACAAGGCTGCGTCGAGATTATTCAAAGCCCATTCTAGCTTGGCGCTTTTCATCATCACTCTAGGAGTGGGCGCAGATGCTCTGGCCTTTGCTAACAATCGTCGGGCTCTTTCGTACTCTGAATTTTCAGACTCCAACTTTACAGCCGCCAACCAAATCTCCTCAGAATTCGGATTCGCCTGGAACGCAAGGGACAAAATACCTCTAGCTGCCGGAACGTCGCCCTGTAAGAGAGAAAATGTACAGTTAAATGCATGTTAAAAAAACATTGATGTAACTGAAACTTGACTAAATATATACATACAGCCAACCATTTGGATTTCGCACCCATCAGCCAAAGCACTTCACTCTTAGGACAGTGAGCAACCGCTCTCTGCAGCAAAGATTCCAGAGACTCTCGCGTTCCGTATGTTTTCTCGAAATAAGCTGCACGCAGCCAAATTGACTTTTTACTAGGGAAAGTCGACAATGCGTAGGCGTATACGGCCCTAGCACATTCCAAAGCACCTTGTTGAGCACACTGAAACGATATATAAATTAATAACTATCCTTATTTAATGAAATATACCACTAAACATACAGTTTCCGCGTCTTCCATCCATGTATGTTTCCTGTCCTCCTCTTCTACTCCAAAACCAATAATCGCTTTAACAATAACTTGACAGGTGTGCACTGCACCCGCTTTCTCAGCTTCCATAGCTTCTTTGAACCAATGTTCCCTGTTGATTTCTACTCCGTTTGCGCTCAGAGAAGATATAGCGCGATCTATGATCTTTTCTACCATGTGTTTGTTCCCATTAGCTTCCTCCAATTTAGCAGCAGTAGTCCAAATTTGTCTGTCGGTTGGAATATTCTCTCTTGCTTTATTAAGAACCTTTCTCGCGTTGTCATAGGTTTCTAATCTTGCCAGGGCGAGCCATAAATCTACACTGGTGGGACAGCATTCGACAGCACGACTAAGCAAAATGCGAGCATCTTCCGGCTCCTCTAACTCGACCGCAGCTTTCCAAAGTCTAACGGAGTTCGGAATATGCTCCAGCGCTTTACGATACACTCTTCTTTTCGCTTTCGTTTCCGTCTCTAAATCAGCCGCTTTTATCCAAATCCTAACTGACGTAGGTATGTGCCGTACGGATTGTGCGATCACCGCTTTAGCTGTATCCGGTGGCTGAAGTCTGGCCGCTTCCAGCCATAAATCTTCTGACGTTGGATTCACCTCGCAGCCTTTCATTATTAAATTTCGGGCGGCTTGTACCTTTCCTGTCACCTCCTCTAAACGGGCAGACGCGATCCACGCTGGAGGATGATTGGGGTTCGTTTCTCTTACAGACTTTAACAATAATCTGGCTTTCTTGATGTCGCTGTAAAAATAGAATCGCTTATAAAATTTGAAGAGATAATTATTGAAGTTATGAATGCAATTCCCGTTTTTTAAACTTACTTGATATCACCGCCGTATGTCGGAATCATACTTTGCAAATCGGTAAGGTATCCCTTCGGATCGACAACCGTTTGTCCCTCGACGGAATCGGAAACCTGATTTAGCTTAACGTTCATCAAGGTATTTCTGGCTTGTCCAATTTTTCTTAAATCTAAATCTCCTGTTGGAGTCAGCATTCCAGGTGTTGCTACACCAGGCATCATAGAAGCTAGACCACTTGAGGGATCGATACTTGAGGATGTTTCACCTCCTAAATTCCTAGCAAGTACGGAATCTGGTAATGGAGTAAACTTTTCAGCTCGCGGATTTCGCTGTTTCCTATTTCTTGCATCGCCTACTTCTGGAACATTTTTCCATTCTTCCTCGGTTACATTTACCAATTCCCTCTTTAAATCTGAAAACTGCTGCTGAATTTTAGGACGTTCTTGACGGTACCTCTCTAGTTCTTCTCTAAGCCTTTTCTCCCTATACTCTTTACGCTTTTCGTCCATTCGCTTGTCGATAGCTTCGTATATAGCATCGGCTTCTTCGTCATCTTTATCATACGGATCCTATATACACATGCAATATGTTAATTCTTAAATAGAGTATGAAACATTCATTGAAAGAATCAAGAATTTCAATTTACTTTACTAAAAAGTGAACCTCCGTATCCAGAGAATTCATCATAATTAGAATCATTCAAATCTTCTTCATCTTCTTCCTCTTCCTCTTTCTTTTTTGTTCGCTTTGTAGGTGGAGCATGTCGATCATCTCTACAAACACAACCGAATATGACATGAATGCTGTGTACTGATTAAGCTAAACATTTAATACAACAAATACTTACGATACGTCATTCGCATCCCGAGCTGGACCAATATCAGATCTGGTTGTAAATCCTGTAGCTCTGTAAAATAATGGATTACGATAGAAATTAACAATTTGTGTTAACAGAGGTTAGATTAACTAAACACTGTCATATACGTTACCCTCTTCCAACACCAGCAACATATCCTAAGGGTGCTGGTACTCCTAAGAAATGCTTTTTATTTCTTGTCGACAAAGAAACTGATGGCACTGCCATTGTTATGTTGTTACTGTCAATTACCGGGAAAAACAACAAACACCTTACCACAAACGGGATATACGAACTACATGTATATAAATATACGATTCTATCTTTATTACACTACACCAGAAAATACGATAGAAGAGCCATCTAACAAATGTATACAAATTACGATACCATCACCCGGTACACTACTTGATAAGGCAACTGCTTTACCAATCTTGTTAATTCTAATATATTAAATAAAATAAAACGCTTTGTGTAAAATAAAACAATTTATTGCTGTCACTATTCAATACCTTAATGACTATACATGTAAGGTTAAAATAATGTTCTTTGGGCATTCTCGCACATCATGCTATTCGATGGCACAAAATCCATAAAATAATGATTATAATCAGGGATTATAAAAATATGTGACGGTATGTTTGGTGTTTCACAGTATTAAATAGCCTAAGGTAGAATGTAACAAATAAAATCAGTCACATTAGATCGTGCTTAGTTAAATATTGTAATTCCCAAAAATTGTTCACGCTAGTTCGCTTAGAATGTTCACGTAATATATCGCAATACCCACTGTACACAATAATATCGCTAAAATCCAATATTTCCAATAATGACTACTTGTTTCCTTTCGCGATTGTTTCTTATCGAGCTTGTCTCTTCCTTTCCGACGAGGTCTAAATTTCCTTTCGAATTTTTCGATCTCTTCTTGATTGCGTATTTCTTCAGCTTGCCGTTTCTGCTCCAGCAACGCTGCTTCTGCCAGACTTTTCTCTATCTTTAACTTCTTGCAAACATCGTCGCATTGCAATCGAATTTGTTCTTTTTGTACCAACGAGCATATGAAATCTTTTTTGATACGTTTACATGGACAGAATAACTTCACTTTCTTGTTGCATTCATTCTCATTTTTACATTCGCCGAGATGGCAATCATACATACATCGATGACCGCAAGGATACTGTAACAAAAACGATTAGATAATACTGTAGAAAATATAATAAATATCTAAATTATTCTAAATGATATTATATTTACATTTTTAGGGCACTGATTCCCACATTTCAGCAGATCGTTGCGTTCCTCTGCTGTGGCCGATGTTAGCTCGACGCATCTTCTGTATAAAGTGACTATACCACAATGACATGGAATTTTAACTAATTGCTTACAAGGATCACACGGTGCTGGGTGACATGGTTTGGAGCAAGAATGCGTGCAACCCTGCGGTCGCGGGAACACGCATGGCTTCTCACAATCCATGCATGGAGTAGCATTCTTGCTACCCTCGGATGATAATACCTTGTGACAAACTAATTCACAAGTATGATTGGTACAAGGTAACAGTCTTCCGCAAAGTCTTCCACAAGATGTAGGCCGTGCCATGTGACAAGGCCACGGGCGTGTTTCGTGACCTCCCACACATGTGACCTGTACTGACACTTCACAAGGCGGACATGGTAACGTTTTTAACTGCTTCGTTTCTTTCTGTATATCCCATGGTCCCGTAGGTTGTGCTTTCACATCGTTTTTGTTTACTTTTACCCAGACTTTTGTGTGGCAAACAGCAACGCAAGAATGACCGCATCGTTTGTATACTAGCTCGCAAATCTTTTTACAAGGTGGACATGGACCCTGATGACATTTATGAGTTTCCCTCTTAGGATGATGACAAATCGGTGGTACTTTGCACGATTTGTTACACGGCGGAGGCTTCACTCTCTTTATAGTACCGCATGGTACTGTTATTTTATTGTATCCGCATCTACATTGAATAACGTCCGTACGCTCGCAAGGATAGCAAGGACCACTGTGACATGGGCCTGAACATTTGTGTTTGCGGCAATTTAAAGTGTTCTCACAAATTTTTTCACAAATATTGAATGTATTCTTGATCAAGCAATCGCAACATTTCCTGTTGCACATGTGCCTCCCGCAGAGGCGCATCTGCATGCACTTCTTATTGCAATGAAATTCTTTACCGCAGGGGACTTCTTTTTTGTAGCTGCCGCATCGACAGGATTTTGTAACTACTTCTAAACATTGTCCACATTGATCCATGTGACATCTCATATTACAATAATGTGAACCGCAGTCTAGCAGCTTGCCGCACGTGTCTCCGCACGTGGGTAATTGTTCTTGACTGCAAGAAACCGCGTAACGCTTTTTGCCGCAAGGACATGTTCTATTCTTTTCCAAAGCACACTGTCCGCAGTCTCCAGGTAGATGGCATGTGCTCTGACAAACATGGATATTACAAGATAGAGATCGGCGACAAGGTTTGTCGCAAGTCCACGCGCCCTCAGAACATTGCCTAATCTCTGTGCTACTCTTACAGCGACATTCAAGTAATAATGATTCCGAGCAAGGAGGGCAATCTCCTGCATGGCATAGTTGCTTGCAGGTGTGAGAGCACGATTTGTACTTTTTATTACATGCTGTACCACAACTCCAATTCTTGGCGTTACATCTTCTTTGTTGAGGTGCTTGTTTACCACAAAAACATTTCATCAATACTGTCTTCGCGCACGGAGGACATGGCCCAGGATGACAAAGTAAAACGCATTTGTGACCACACTCTGGTTGCAAGGGTTTACCGCATACATCTCCACATGAATGTGGTATACTCCATGGTTGGAACACAGGGTCTATAACTTTTTTGCAGAAACATTTATAATTACGAGGAACTTCATCTTGCTCATATTCCATACGACATTTTGGACTGAAACAAAATTTTGAATATAATACGAAGCATTCAGAATGAATTGTATATTTAAATATATGTTTTACCATGCCCAAATAGGTACAACACCCTTCTCACGTTTTACATTCAGACTATCTTGTATCCAATGTAGGGTACAAGATAAATGTAAAAAAGCGAAGCATTTGCTACAGTTCCAGATCTAGAATATTTCCACTGATTATTATTATTATTAATATTCTAAATTGTGTATCTATTGAAGAAACAATATAATTTATCATACCGCATCTGCCTTTTTTACAGTTGAAATACATATTAAACACACTGCACTGCCAGATTGAAACAAATTAACTAAATAAGACAAAGTCTTTTCTGTGTCTGCCTCTCTTCCTTGATAGGCAGATAAAACTTTGCCAACTACATTTTGTATGTCTTCTGTTCGTATATCATCTTCATCCTCGCTGGATGATTCTAAATAAGCATTTGCCTCTAAATGCTTATTAATTGCAATTTTGTTTTGCGCTTGGGCTCGTCTGAACTTCTGCATGTTTTTTGGTAAATTTCTACTAATAAAAACAATATAACAGAACTTTTATATATAATGTGATAACATGTAACAAGTAGTCATTGATAACAAAATTACAATATTGTATAAATCAAGAATATTCTAAAGAATAGTTATGTATGAAACATGATTCATTTACTTACATGTAGCAGTACAAAGAAATAAGTAATACTTAAATAATACATGAAAGTAATCGATCTTTATTAAATAATGTATTTAAAACCAACAAAGAACTGTTTTTCTCGGAACATATTCTGTTTGAATGGTACCAAGTTATAGCCATATTTTTGCCACGCATACCAATAAACAGAACACAAGTGTTCGCCCCACTACTGTTGTCCGTATCTATAACATGATATCTATGAAAGTAGGTACAATATGTACATATGTACATAATGATAAAAAGATTAGGCAATTTCGAAAAAGAGAAATATACTACACAAATAATTAATAATCCATTGATCTCTCGTTCAATAACATTAGAAAACAAATCTCGCCAGAATATGGGAGATAATTAAATAATTACAATGTAATAAATTCCGCGAGAAAAGAAAACAGTCATATGGCGCCAAGTAGAAAATGGTTTCAATTTTGATTTAAAGTACGCTATCATAACTATTTTCGAATTGCAATGCATTTTTCCATTTCTCATTCTATTTCTTAAACCGTAGAAAAGCCTCAATGGACAAGTATTGAAATATTACATATGTACGTAATTCGAACTGTGACGTATAACATATGTAGTAGAATAAGAATACATATATGTAACGGTGTCGAGTTCAAACGTTTCCTACCTTAGACCATATTGTAGTTCTATATGGTCTAAGTTCCTACGCTTGCTATGGATGCATGCATGTATGTATGATGTGTACGTCGAGTGTACGCGTGCGTGTGTGCATGGGCAATGTGTACATACACATAGTGTTTCGTTGCCCATAAACGGGCTATGTACGTATTTTATAAAGAAAACATAAATAGATATTATGTAATTATGGCGATCTGCCATGAGATCAGTGCGCATCATTATCACGAACATTTTGAGACCCATAACCCTTCAATTATCATATTTTAATCGAAGTGATAATAAAGAAGAAAATAAAGGTGCCTCGAATCTCGGTTTTGACATGTCAGATAATGAAATACACATGTACGCCGGATAATTCGAATACGCCACTATTTTCGATCAGAATAAGATGAAAACATTTCAGTATTGCATCTCTTCTTTTTTATATCGCAACTAGTAAAAAATCCGATATTGTATATTCTTGCATGACTATAGTTATTCCCACACTTTTCGAAACGACTGATAATGTCTAGTTTTTGGTGTACCGATAATGTCACGCATGTTTTTCATTGCGTTACCTTAAAATACAACTTATAAACAATTGAAATAGAATTATGCAATTTTAAGACGTCATAAATCTAAATCGGAACTAACAGAGGAATAGAATCGAAATGAAACAGTGCCGGATAATCGGGCATTCCAGACAATAGGGTACCGAATAATTAGAACTTTACTATAGATAAATAATTATAAAATACAAATTTAATATTGCATGTAAGTATTTGTAGAGGAAAGGAATACGCACGAATGTAATTCTTTAACGGTGTGTGTACATAAATTCAATTGTATAGATCAATATGTATTCGTTAGTTTTGATACACAATGAAACAGAAAAGAGGATAGATCTGATGTGAAGCTAAATGAAAAAGATTTAGAATCCAATTTTTATACTCGAGAAATCAGTTAGTTCAACGTGCAATACAATCGAATTTTCGAAAGCTAACCAAACGCTGTCACGATGACATATTTTTCGGGTGTGATTGGTACCCCTGCTTCATTCCCCCATCCTTTCATTGTTGCTGTGCCAGACCCGGTGTGTTTGCGTTTTTCGTTGTTTCTGCTGTAGAAAGTTTCACTGCCAATAACTTTTAGGATTTTCGCGGAAAAAGTGTCGACGAAAATTCTTCGGCGAACGAAAGAAAGGCAGAGTGTGGGGGTAGCAGGCGGAGAACATGGAAAATTTGGAGGAGGTGTTGCAGGCGCTCGACGAGTTTCAGAAAATGCGTCCGAGGGAGATACCTCGGGAGTTGGAAGACTATTTGTGTTGGGTTGCGAAAACCGGTGATCCCGTTTACCAGTGGTCGCTGATCAAAACATTGTTTCGGGAGAAACTCACGCGCGTGATGACCGACTTTTACGAGAGCTGTCCGACCCTGGAGCTTGCACCCTGCCCGAACGTCGAGCATTTCAATTATGACACCATGAAAAGCAATCTTTTGGAGCGTTTAGAATCCTTCGCGAACGCACCGTTTACTGTTCAACGAATTTGCGAGCTTCTGACAACACCTCGCAAAGAATACAACAGGGTCGACAAATTTATGCGAGCTATAGAGAAGAATATCTTGGTTGTTTCCACTAGAGAGCCAGGATCTATTGCCAGGAGAAACGAGAATGGTGATGGTATGGTAAATGGATCTGTGGATGAGGATACTTCTGGTACTCAACCGCCTCAGGATGTAGAAATGGAATATTGGGAAAAGGACTGTCCATCGACCGTAACCATTAATGTATACAGCGTTGAAAATGAAGCACCTATGTTACAAACCGTTGTACCGACTACTAATGTTATAAAAAATGTATTTGGTACGGAAGAAGTTTCTCAGGAGAAAACCGAGTCTATATCCAAAGCAGATGTTACGACAACTAATTTTGTACCCACCGTGTCAGAGTTTTCAGGTGTTTCAAATTTAACGTCTCCGACACAGACTCAAGAGCCACAGATAGGACCTACTATACAAAATTTGTCATCCATAGTTTCTGAAACCTCTGGAATATCAAATGACATTCCAGAAGGTATAATGAACGAGGATACCAGTTCTCAACCTAGTTTAGATTTGGAGAATGAAGAAGGTGATGTTACGGAGTCGACAAGGAAATTACAGACAACTTTCCAGCCAAAAGATTTTGGCTCTAGTGAAAATAAATCATCCAAATTTTATTTAGACAGTTCCAAAGTAAACGATAAAATGAAGGTAGGGCCCATACAAATGCACGGACAAGAAGGCACAACTAAAACTAATAATGCATTGATTAAGTCTGACATGGAGTCCAAAGAGCCATTAAACAATAAAGAGCCCATTGGTCCAGTAGTTGATAATGTTTTACATGCTTCCAATATGAATTTCAAAGACACCATAAAGTCTGGTACTGACACAGACAATACAGAAGCAATTGTAGATGCACCTGATACAAACACAAAAGAGAAAGAGACTCTATCTTTGGATAATACTAATACAGGGGATATGACTTCTGCAAGCAATTCGAATAAACTTATCGGTAATTTACATTTGTCTACTGATGAAGCAATTTCAGTTGAGACTCCGTTTGTAAGAACACAAGAAGGCTCGTCTCTAGATGTGGAGAACACAAAAGATCAAAGTAGGAAAGTAGAATTAATTGAAGAGTTAAAACCTATTGTGGAAGATTCTTGTTCTAAAGACGATACCACAGAAAATTTCAGTGATGGCCAGAGAGAAAACCAAGAGAAAGACACTTTGACTATAACAGAAGCTATAGAAGATGAATCCAGAGTAATTAAATCTATAGTACCTGAACCAATTCCTATCATAGAAGAACCAAAAGATGCAGAAACAATTGATGTCAAAGAAGAAGATTCTACTGCTATTGTTGAACTCTTAGAAGAGCCTGTGGATCAAAACTCTGCAGGTGCGTGTCAATCAGAATGTGAAGAGAAAATGTCCATTGAAAGCAGTGATGTAATAGAATTGCAAGGTAATAATGTAGATCCTATCGCATCTAAAGTAGAAGACAGTGACACAATAATGGAAAATGTTACAAATAAAAGGGAGCAAGATACAACAGAAATGATGGAAGTAGATGATGAAGAAACATCATCAATGTTTCAACAGGATGATGAACCAATGGAACAAGAAACAGCTCATTCATTGCAAAGTTAATAATGTTTAAGATGGTCTAATTGCTCCTAATGCTCGATTTTGACTTTACCAGAACAACATCAAACATACAAGATAAGAACAAACTTGTCTGTGTAAGAAAATTCTCATTATAATTGAAGTGTAATTTGTATGAACTCCAGAACATGATTCGACATGTAAATCACATGAGAAAATACTATAAAAAAGTTGCAGAGTACGATTATGTATTATTTACTGCTTCATTGACTCTTCTAATTGCAATTAAAATCTGGTAAACTTTGGTATTTACTTGTACAAAGACTTGTGCGTATGAATTTCTAAGCTCCTGTAGAAAGCAAAGAACTACCTATTTCCAAGATGTTATACTATTAATGACCAGTTGTAGCTATGATTTGAGTTTCTGCTCAGGTCAGATTGTAAAAAGTTTCATCATAAATTTATACAGATAACGTTTCTATTTAGGGTATGGCTGTGCTTGTGACTGGAGCATAAGAAATTCTAATGTGACTCCTAACAAATGTGACATGTGATAGCTGTGTGAACAAAGAGCATTTGAAATATGCATTCTGGTGTTCTAAAGTACATTTTATCGATAAAACATCTAATTTATATGTATGATCATAGTTTGGAGCACGTTCCAAATTCAAATTTTCAGTGTTCAACTGGTAATTGTTTTATACAGATATTTTGAAATTTTATGGAACAATTGGTGAATGAATTGATAATTAAAAAAAGAATACGTCAATTTTTAAAACTTCTTGACTCAATAGGCACAGTTTTTCCCAGAGATGACTGAAGATTACAAATGTTCCAATTATAAGTGTAAGCGAAATTAAAGGACTGATTTCATTTTATGATTCAAGATGTAATCGATTAACGAATGTCCTTGTTACACATATTTCCTACATAGAAGAATATAAAATAGAGCAAGAATAAAAAGTATCAATCATTTTTCATGTTAGA